TTCTACAATAGACAAAGAAGCTCATAACTATTTGTATGGACGAAAATTTAAAATTTGAACAGACCACAAACCTTTAATAAAGATATATGGTAATAACAGATATTTAAGCTCATTAACAAACTAACGATTATTACGTTGGGCTTATAAATTATCTGCATATGATTATAATATATTGTACAAGAATAGCGTTAATAATATAATTGCAGATGCTTTATCGCGAAACCCAATAGAGAAAAATGATGATAGAATAACAAGTAAAAATAAAACAGTGAAATATATAAGAAATCTTACTTATGACACATTAACTCTATCAAGAAAAGAACTTAGAGATGAAACCGCAAAAGATCCAATTTTAAGAAGAGTAAAAATATTAATAAATAGTACAAATATACAAAATCAAGCACCAGAATTACAAGCTTTTAGAACAAGAATAGATGAAATAGAAAATGATGACGGTATTTTATTTTGGAATGGCAGATTAATCATTCCGTACTCACTTCAAAAAAAAGAGTTTTACATATATTGCATAAGGGACATCCTGGTATTACATCAATGAAATCCATTACGAGACATTATATATGGTGGGAACAATTAGATAAAGATGTCGAAAAACTAGTAAAGTGTTCTTCACTTAAAAAAACGATTGGTACAATAAAAAAGGAAATATTGTTATTGATCATTTAATTATGATTTTTCTTTAGTTTGTTTTTGAACAAAAATTTTAAATTTCGTTAACCCTTCATTCTGCCCATTGCTTAAATTTCTTAATCCGCCCGCCTGCCCATTCTCGAAAATTTTTTTGCCCGCCCACTAAGATGGGCGGGCGTGGGCGGGTGGGCCAAAGCCTTGCCCAATGCAGACCTCTACCTCACCCCCCTCCCCTGTCAAATTTTTGCAATATCAATCAGAGTTTATCTTTGCTGCTAGTTGCATTAATAAATTATTTTCCTACAGCTCACTACTTTGTAGAAATTTACAAAAACCAAATTTAGATTTGGTTCAGGTTATTGATTTGGCGGAAAATGTATAAGAATAGTTAAATAAGAATGAATAAAGATGAAGAATTCATAATATTCATCTAGACGTAGAATCGAAAGCGAAATCTTATGATATAACACTAATTAAACCTCGTCTAGCACCTAGGCAATTATTGAGATATAATATAAATGTTGACGCAACTGAAGAATATTATAAAATACCCATTTTAATCGCATTCTTAGATATTTTTATCGCAAATTAAAGTACGGGTTTAAGATAAAAAACAAGTCTTTAGCAATCTTCAAATTTTATTACCTAAAGACCCTTCTTCGTTTTCTGACGCCACTATTGGTAAAATTAAATAATTAGCAAAATTTTATTCCTATAATATTGATGAAATCAATTTAAATTTATGCGCTCAATCGATGTAAGGAAACCTTGGCTCAATTTCCAAATATTTTGAAGTTGTTTTATATTCTTGCATTTGCCTATTACAACATGTACGAATGAAAAGACCTTTCCAACTTGAGAAGGTAAAAATTTATTTACGAAATACTACTTCCGAATCTCGGCTAAATGGGTTAACTCTGTTAAATATCCACATATATTTGGTTCCAACGACAAGCGAAATTCATATGAATTTGCAAATTTCCCACGAAAATTAAAAATCACATTATAATTATAGTATTTAATAAAATTTTTGTATAATATTGTATTTGATAAGAAGTTATAAAAACTTGTTTTTAAATATTTTCTATTCAATATTTTATACACACTACAATTAGTATTTTCAATAAAAAAAAATGTATCCTATTTATATCGTATGAGAATTTAAGCTGAGGCTAGTTTTTAAAGCCAATTTTATAAAAAAAAATGCCACTAAACTTTATATCAATTTTATATTTTAAATTTTTTTTATTAAATATAAATATAATATACCTAAACCTTTATTTTTTCTTTAAATATCCATAAGCGCACATTAGTAAATAAAAGCTAAAAATATTAATAAAATTATTATTGAATTATGAATAATTTAATAGAAGAGCTCAAAGATATGACCCGGCCAAAGTCCACGGAAAAGCTGGCAGAAGGCCAGCTATGAAGGTTTGGAGGGGGGGGGGAGGGGGGGAAGGAAAGTTCCCTCAAAATATTTCTCCTCCTATAGGAAAATCCTGGATACGCCACTCATCAATACAATTTAAAATTTTGCAAACCATTAAGAAAGCGAAGCTTTTATCATAAAACACATTTTCGCGGAACTTTATTAAAGCGAATTGATTTTATAGATAACTTTTTGCCGCCATATTCGCTTGCTATTCAGCAAAGACCATATCGAGAATTTTTTATAGCAGAACTTTTACCGAGATCTCTTTAGAGCTAATACATAACAGCTAAACTTTTATCGCCAATATATAATAGCAAAAATCTTATAGAGAAGGCGAAACCCAAATCACAAAAACCATTTTGCGAACTTTATATAGTGAATTTATTGATGCGAAGTTAATATCAAGGGAAAAGCGCGAAAGCAATACCGCGATAATTAATAGTGACTACTTTCTTAAAATAAATTGAAAAAATTATTTTATTCTTCCATATATTTTTCTGAACAATTTATCTTAAAAACTGGATATCCGTTTTCTGAGTAATTTTGTTTTATAAATGAGCATTAAGAAATAATTCAGGGCATTCGTATTTTTTCTGAGCTTTGAGTTATTTCAAAGTTTAAGGAGAGCTTCAGTTTTAATTCTGAGAGATTAAATAGGTTAATTTTAAAATATGAAAGTACGTATAGCCAACCATTTTTGAAGGCAATTGTAAAATCCTCAATTAAAATCTCCCAATTGAATATTTTAAAAAAACTTCCTGGAAATGATAAATAATTCCATATTTTTTTATTTCTAAAAACTTATAAAAATGAATAAGCTTCTAAAATTCTTTCCAAAAATATCTAAAAGGGGGAAAATGTTTAAGGGCCAACAAAATTTTATTTAACTTAAAACCTCGAAACTTCGAGGTGTGCATTTAAAAAATAAATATCAGATTTCAATTTAATCAAAGTAGAGACCTGACGGTCAGTGCCAAAATATGGCATGATTTTAAAAGGGCCGACCTTAAAAAATGAAAAATCCGAGCCAGACCATTACAATTAAATGTCAACTTATGATAATATTTTGATTAATATCACAGAAACTAGGTATCTAGCAGATAATTTAGGTTAGGGGTATGATATACTTAAGCATTAATTTAATTTATAAAAATTTTTTGCTTAAAATTCACCAAAACTGGGTTAGGAATAAGACCATAAAGTTACACACCATATGATTAGGGTTAATAGATAATATTTTAAAAATTACGTTAAGTTTAGACATTAACTACTTTATAATTTATAATTGGTTAACAATTTATTTTGGGAAATCTTTTTCAATAGTATATTTTCTATGAATTTTTTTAAATATTTTATTTCTGGAATATATATTTATAGGGAATTTTTTTCCTAATTTATTAATTTAAAAAATATATATTTTTTTAAGGATCTATAAAAGGGGGAAATTTTTTCCGGGTTGCGAGAATTTTTTTCCGGGGAATTACTTTTCTGGGATTTTTTTCCGGAGAATTACTTTTTGGGAAATTTTTTTCCTAAAGATATTTTTCCCGGGGTATTATTTCCTTAAATTCGTTGTAATGATGTGGTTGATAAACAAATTTAATTTTTTGTCTGAAATTGGACTTAACAGTTGCGAGATAAGAAATAAATTGCTTTTACACATATAAAAATGTTTATCGGAAAGAAATTAACTTTGCAAATGTTAGAAATCGTGAAAAAAGTTTAAGATTATAATACTTCGTTCTTATAAAATTCACTAATCACCTCAAAGTATAAACCAGAGACCTGCAGGCCCGGCCCTAAGCCCAGGTACCAGGGCTGGGCCGTATTTTAAATTTTTAAAATATACCCGGGCCGTATTTTTTTTAAAAATTTATACAACATGAATTATTATATTCGTCAATTAGATATGGTTATAATTATTATATATAGTTATGATTAATATAATGTTTGGTGAAAGTTAACACTAGCTAACACTCATAAGTTTTCCTGCCATGGAATAAATACGCAAAGGATTAAATACATTATTATATAATATATAATATATGTTATATTTTTTATTAATTAAAATATCATTTTTATTTTTTTTATAAATACATAGTATATTCTCAAAATATTATTTACACAAATTTTTCATAGTATAAATTTGTAATATACTAAATATCTGTTTAGAATATAAAAAAAATAGTGTTGTTAAACGGCTCGTTTTAAGCCGATTTTAAAAACGGCTAACTCAGTGTTTTGTCCAGAAAAATTTTATGCAAGCCTGAAAATTTTGCTCATAGAAGGAGCAAAGGTCTATACATATAGTATCGAAATTTCGAGGCTTAGTCAATATTTTTCTGGTGAAATGAGTTAGCCGTTTTTAAAAATCGGCTCAAAACGAGCCGTTTAACAACATTAGCTAATATACTTGTTTATTAAATGATAATACTCGCCGAAAAATATGATAAGATACAAATAAATTTTTTGTATATACCAGGTCGAATATAATTTTAAAAAATTCAGAGCAGGGCCTAAAAAAAATTTTTTTTTTAAATACAGGCCAGGCCCTCGAAAATTTTTTTTTAAATATCCGGGCCGGGCCTAAAATTTTTAAACCTGGGCAGGGCCGGGCAGAAAATTTTTTAATCTGGGCCGGGCCGTACAAATGGTACCTCTGCAGGTCTCTGGTATAAACTATAAGCATTATTTATTCTGATGATTAGACCGCTCCTAAACGCTAGATATTCCATCCCCAAAAGGTGTTGATCATTTGTTGAATCGATACGAAGAATTCATAAATTAAATTAAAACTCTGCTACAAGTAAATCACATATGTACTATATCATGTGACCATAACTTTAGATAATTTATAAAACTTTTACTATTCTATAAAGCATAAATACTAATAATATACTATTATTAAATTTATAACCTTAGTGCCGTTCAGAAGGTACCCGTTCTTTTCGGTGTTCAATTTAGCTGTAGTGGAAGCGGCGGCTGAATCACTTCCGTTATCTGGTTCACTCAAGCAGAAGCATCCGACGGCTTGGCCCGTGAGCAAAGGCGAACCCGGATAAAGAAAACGGACTTTTAAATCGGCCGCGCCGTGCTTATTCAGCGGTTCTACGAAGAGCGAGTTGTGAACGCTCATTATGACGCCAGTCGAGGCGCATCCTCGACTAATTTCTTCAACAGCCAAGGCATAGGCCCAATAATCGAGGCCAGCGCCACCCTGCTCGGTCGGGAGAGTCATTCCCATTAAACCTAACTGGCCCATCTTTCGAACCTAATAGTGAGAGTAAATTTTAAAAAAAAATACATAATATAAAAAGATAAGGGAGAATATATGGATTTTTTAAAATATTTTATTGAACTTCAAATCGTAAAACTCGAAAAGTGAATATGAGAAATATAAAAATAAATTGATTAAAAAATTTTGTTGCCAAAAGTATTGGCTGGGCGAGAAAGGGTTAGAAGGAAAAATAGAGACACATTTAAAAAATATAACTATTCTAGAGATCTGCAAAAGTAGGCCCGGCCCGTACCCGACCCGAAGCCCGTTCGTCGGGTTCGGACCGAGTCGGGCCTAATATTTTTAAAAAAATTCTGGCTGGGTCGGGTGAGCCTTGGAAATTTTTTTAAATATATCTTAATCAGAGTTGTTAAAGGATCGAATCAAAAGATCGCCGATCCTGGATTCGATCCTAAATTTGTCAATTTTCTTGGATTTAAGATCCTGACCTTAAATTGAGGATATGGATCGAGATCATTTTTTTAAATATTCTATCACGATCCTTTTAAAAATATTTTCTTGCTTAAAAAGCAATAAATAAAATAAAAATTTTGAAAATTAAAATATTATTTTTAAAAAAATATCTATCTACATCATATTTTATCAACCACCCTTCCACGAGATTTTATATTTCAACTATTTACCAAATTTTTTGTACGAACAAGTTATATTTATTTATTATTATCAGAGACCTGCAGGCCCGGCCATAAGCCCAGCCCGGGCCGTATTTTAAATTTTTTTAATATATTAAACATATCCGGGCCGGGCCTAAAAATTTTTTTTTTAAATATATCCGGGCCGGGCCTAAGATTGTTAAACCCGGGCCGGGCCTAAGATTGTTAAACCCGGGCCGGGCCTTAATATTTTTTATAAAAATTTTTACATTATGAGTTAATGGTTATAAGATTATATTATATTATAGTTATGATTAATATAATATTGGGTGATGGTTAACACTACCTAACACCCACAGATCGATCAATTATTAATTTCCTGCAAATTTATTCAAAGTATTAATATATTTTTTTATAATTCATATCTAAATTTTTACAACATATTTTACCAAAACAATCAAATAAAGGAATATCTTAAATAAGCCCCAATATTCAAGTATTAATAATATATTTTTTTATAATTCATATCTAAATTTTTAGAATATTTACCAAAACAATCAAATAAAGGAATGGCACAAAATACTAATGATATAATTAAAATTAAAAATAATATTTATTCTTTTAGAAATACAAATAATAATTTAAAATCTGAAATATGGGCTAAATTTAACATCATCGTAGATGAAAATAAAAAAAACATTGGCTACGTACAATGTAAGAATTGTTCAAGTATATTATCTTATAATTATAAACATGGTACATCACATTTAAAAAGACATAAATGTGATGGTAAATCCATGAAAATTAATAAATTTTTTTTACACCTGAAAAACCAACCTATAAATGTAATATAAAATATTTAAAAGAAAAATTTATAGATCATTCCTTAACACTTTGCGCAAAAGATATTAGACCTTTCGAAATGATAGCTGGGAATGGGTTTCTTGAATTCAGCCAGGCTCTAGTCGATGTTGGGGCAAAGTATGGTAAAATAGACTCATTGATTTCACATCCCACCACTCTATCACGCCACCTTAAAGAAAAATGTAATAAAATAAGAAACATTTTGGTTGATCACCACTCTATCACGTCACCTTAAAGAAAAATGTAATAAAATAAGAAACATTTTGGTTGATACTATTGCCCCAGTAATCAAGAATCGATTTATGGCTGCTTCCACTGATATATGGTGCGATGACCATAAAAAGAACTCGTTTATAACAGTTAACATGCACTATATATCAGATGACTGGAAGTTAGTCAAGAGAAACCTATTTACCGCTAAATTTAAAGAAGTGTCAAAGACAGCAAAGTAGTTAAGGATGAACTATTAAAAAATTTTCATAATTTTAATTTCAACACTAACGATTTTATTAATATAATATTCGCTACAGACCAAGGTAAAAATATTATAAAAGCATTGGAGTTAAATGAACGATTAAATTGTTCTTGTCATATATTAAATACATTAAGAAATTCATTTAACTTCAAATATTTGGAAAGTAATGCCCCATTATAAATCAACAATAGATAATACTAAAATATTAGTGGGGCATTTAAAACAAAGTAATAAATGCCAGCATTTGAAAGCCCTTTATCAAGATATAGAAGTCCGTTGGAACTCTAAATACAATATGCTCAATTCTGTTTATTCTCAAAATGAAGAAATTATAAAAGTTCTTCAAGAACATGAGGGATCGGAAAAGTATTATATTATAGACTTTCCGATCCTTCAGGATCTAGTCAAAATTCTTGAGAATTTTAACAGAGCTATTGTTGAGTTACAGTCGGACTCTTGTACTCTTTTTAAAGTGGTAATATGGTATTATGAACTTCGAAGTTCATAATACCTTTCAAAGCAAAAAAGGAGAAATAAAATTGATTTTACTTAATATAACGCATTATTTAATTGAAAAATTTGTTTTACACAAGTATCATATTATTTCTCTTTTTCTCTGCCCCAAATTCAAGCAATTACGTATGTTGTCAGGGACAGATCGCAAGATGACGGAAAACTATATAAAAGATTATATTAAATTACAAGAGGCTCAGGAAGTAAATGAAATACCATCGACCAGTCAAATTACGACTGTTGTTAAACAAACTGAATCGTTTTATGACAAATGGGGCGATGGTAATTCTGGTAATATGTCAATACCCGATGATGAATATTATAATTACATAAAAAATAGATAAAACATTTAAGGTGGATAATTTGTTAGAGTGGTGGGCGGCTCATCAAAGCGAATTTCCAATTTTAGCAAAATTGGCAAAACGGGTATTGGCAATTCCTGCTTTAAGTACAAGCTGTGAGCGGAATTTTCCCACTACTGGGAGAATTCTTGAAGAAAGAAGAAGTAATCTTCAACCTGAAAAGGTAGATATGCTTCTCTATCTTCATGATAATTTGTGAATTTTTAATATTTTTCTTGAGTATACGGTTTCGTCAATCATGCTGGTTTTTTACTTTATAAGCTGTCAAATATTTATTGCATTATATTTTACCTTGAGTCATGAAAGTTTTTAATCCAACATTTTTCATTATTTTTTTTACAATATTATATAATACAATTATCTTCTTTTGTTAAAAATTTATATAATAAAATAAATTATATTAATATTGTGCATTTAGATTATATTTTCAAAATACTATTTATTATACATGCATTTTTTTAAATAGCGATTTATTTTTATTTTATAAATTAAATAGTAAATTAAATACAATATATCATATTCTCAAAATATTTTCCATTTTTATAAATTAAATATTAGTTTTATTTTTTTTAAATGCAATATAAAATATAGTATATGCTCAAAATATTATTACCATTTTTATGAATATTAGTTTTATTTTTATAAATGCAATATAAAATATAGTATATGCTCAAAATATCCATTTTTATAAATAACAGTTTTATAATTTTTATAAATTCAATATAATATTCTCAAAATATTAGCTTTTTTCATGTATTTTTTAAATAATAAGCGATATTACTCGCTGAAAAATATGGTAAAATACCTCATAGGTTAATTTTTGTATATACCAGGTCGAATATAATTTTAAAAAATTCCGAGCCGGGCCTGAAATTTGTTTTTAAAAAATATCCGGGCCGGGCCTTAAATTTTTAAATCCGGGCCGGGCCGGGCCGTAAAAAAATTTTTTTTTAAATATCCGGGCCGGGCCTAAAAAATTTAAAACCGGGCTGGGCCGTGCAAATGGTGCCTCTGCAGGTCTCTGTTAATTATATTAAAATATAAATAAATTCTAGGTTTTAATAATGTCCTTTATAGATTTAGAAGATACTTCTATTGATGTGACAGCAGATATAAGTGAGAATGAGAATCTTTTACCATTTCATAATCTACGTAAGTATTTTACTTTATGTGAAACGGATGGAAGTAACCATACAATGATCTATGCAAAATGCTCTTTATGCAAAATATCTTCTTCAAAGATTAGCACTTCACACCTAAAGAGGCATTTAGAAGTTATTAATTCTTTTAAAAATACAATTTTTATTATTTTTGAAGATCATAACAATATGCATATAATAAGAATTATTTACAATAATTAATAAAATATTTATTGATGTGTTAATTTTAATTATAATAATCAGGAATTTTAATATTATTATTAATATTAGCCCATTCTTAGCAATGATATGAAAGGGAGACTAGTATTTTTAATGGGAATTGAAATTAATTATCAGTATTTAAAACCCTTCAACCACATATAAATAATATACTAAACTTAATATATTTAACAAAATTTGTGCAACCCTTTATTCATAAGTTTTTAAATGCTAAAAAAGCCCCATTTTATTCATATCATAGGAAAATATTTTCTCAAAATCTTTTGCCCATATTATCTTGGGCAGCTTATAATGATAGGCAATTTTAACTTGAATTTTTAAGATAACCTATATGACCCTTTTAACCACATGTAAATAATATAAATTTGTGTTGAACCATTAATTCATAAGTTCTTAAATACCTAAAAAGCCTCAGTATTATGAATATGATAGGAAAATATTTTCTCACAGCTTTTAATATGATAGAAGAAAATATTGTAAACTTGAATTTTTAAGATAACCTATATGACCCTTTTAACCACTTATAAATAATAATACCTTAATATAATATGTTTAATAAAATTTGTTTGAACCCTTTATTCATTAGTTCTTAAATGCCAAAAAAGCCTCAGTATATTCATATCATAGGAAAATATATTCTCAAAACCTTTTGCCCCTATCATGAGAAGCTTTTAATAATGGTAGAAAATATTGCAAACTTGGATTTTTAAGATAACCTATATGACCTTTTAACCACATATAAATAATATACTTTATCATATATAACAAAATTTGTTTTAAACCCTTT